GAACCGCTGAGACCAGTGATCCAGATGACGCAGCCCTTTTGCTGGAGAAGTTGCTGCCTGTCGCATCTGCAGATTGAACTCTCGTGCCAAACTATATTCGACGATTTCCTTTTGGTTCCTGTCTCGGCCACCTTCTCATCTGTTCGGATCGACGATTTCAGACAAAAAAAAAAAAACATCATCATCGTCAGTTCGTATACGGTGATTCTGTATCTGAAGTAGAAATATGGAGTAATCAGCTTAATCTCAATCTGGGTCTGGTGTTGAATTATTGGATAATTAGTTTAACCTATGCTTCGTACGAGGAAACATAACATGAATTTGCAGGCAAGCTCAAACGGACTATGATTATGGTATTATGCGAGATTAATCGATAATTCGTCGGATTCAGAGGATATAATTTGCAACCCAGAAGTTCAAACCGCGAAAAGATCGGGAATTTGAAAGAAAGAAATGGACTTTTGATCGGGATGCGATTCGAACGATCTAATCGACGAGCAGGGGAGAGAGAGAGAGAACCTGAAAGGGCGGGAAAATCAGCCGTCAAAGAAGCGTTGGCCGACACGTTGACGGCGGAGATGGGAAGAACAGAAGTCGATTTCGCGACCAGTTTAGGGTTGTCGGCGACATTCGCCGGCGGGAGCCTCACGGTGGACGGCTGAGATCGTTCCGAGCCGCCGAAGCCTTGCAACGAACACGAAATCGACGGTCGAGATGCTCCGATGGCCAATCCCTCCATTGAAACAGCTGATTCGATCGAAACAGAGAGATGGCTTTGGAGATTTAAAACGGTGACGGCTATATACAGAGAGGTGTATATAATTTTCTTCGAATTCGATAAATATACACAGATTTTTATAAAAAAATGTGACGATCAAGGCCATGTAATTTGAGGAATATATATATACGTGTGTTTGTGTAGAGACCGAGGGAAAGAAAAACTGGTGAGTACCGTACCAAAACAATATTACTCCACGTAAAACACATGACGATATTCGCCCCACCAAAAACTGTCAATTTCGTCTTACTCCAACCTCTAAAAAGCTTGAAATAAGGAAATAATTCATGCACTACACTATGTACGAGTGTTACATTTTTATTCACATATATAATAAAATCGAGGGTTTTATTTAGAGTTTTTAAATGTTAATTTTCTCAATGGGTTTAGGTTATGAATGGTAATAATTTTTATTTCTGAGTTTTTTTTATTTTCATAGTATTTGTAAATAAAAAATGGTTTTTTGGGTTTAGTTTGATTTTTTCACTAATTTTCTAAATTTTTAGAAAAATTAAATTTACAAAATCTTTAATGTCATTGTTTTAGTTTTTGAATTATAAAAACTTCAAAAACTCCATCCATTAACCCTAATAAAATAGATTTTAACGTCTGATTACTCAATGTTTATCTTCGTTACTAGATGCAGTTTTAAGCCAAACTTTTTTATATGTAATATAAAGTTTGGAGGTTATAAATTGTGCTTTTACGTGATATTGTAATTTTGTGTCACATATTATACAAGAGAAGTTTCTATTCTGGCCAAGGATATTGTTCCAATCGTGGTCTATGTGATAGAGATTTTTCTGAAATAATATATGCAAAAATTTTCCTAATTGGTCTGCCTGATAGGTTGGCGAATAAAATCTTGTCGGTACAAAATAAAAGCACGAGGCCTTATTATATAGTTCGGGCGAAAATACCAAAATTATATGATTGTTGTAATGAGATTTGGTATAACCATGTTTTAGTCTTTTTCATGAATGTAATTCCATGATTTTTACAACATAAGGTGTAAAACATTAATAATTATTATCGCTAATGTATATAATACAATTATATATTATAATAAATACAATAAATGTATATATATATATATGTGTGTGTTTGTATAGGTGAGATCATTGAATGCAGGTCTCTCGGAAAACGAGTGTGGGACTTCTCCACCTACCAACCTACCCAAAGACCATTTCTGAATCCATGTGATTTATAAGCCACATTGGTTATAATATTATTCAACTATTTTTTTTTTGTATGGTTTTTCTTTGTATGAAAACAATTCAATTTTCGAGGAGATTTGATTTTATATATTTTTTATTCTAAGAGTGCAAACGACCAAATCTTCGATTAAATTTCATTTAATTCGTGTAATCGCATCTATATTCGGATTACTAAATAAAAGAATTACTTTAGAATAATTCTCAAAACACGTAAAATTAAATGATACTATTATGTATCCCTATATAAATATGATATGTACATTAAGAGCGTAAAAACCCCAACAAATTACTTTATCAAGTAATAGAATGGCCAAAAAATTGGGCTAGTTAACATTTTATAAATCACATCTATTACAAAATTGCAATAAATATTCTTCTCCTAAAAAAGTGACTTTTATAATGATAAGTTTAACAAGCAATATATACTAAGAATAAAAAACACATTACTCCCATTTTCATTATCAAAGAAATTTTGAATAGTCGCTAAAAAGACGGAAGTGTTGAATGGTCAAACCAGGCGGACCCTTGGAGCAATCTAGAGGGTTTATCTTTGGGCCTTTATATGGATCCACACAATGTGTCAGAACTTAGTATGGACCTATACATATCATGAAGTTTATAAGTTTAGCGAGATGTTGAAATTTTTTCCATAAAGTGATGCAATTTATTTAGTGGATAATAAAATGCTCCAAACCCATTTGTTATATATCCTCTATTTTAGTTGATTTTATTTAATTATTATTTAGCTAAAGAGAAATTAAACATATGAACTTAGATTTACGGTAAGATATGAAATGGATCTTTTATCTTCTCTTAAACTCTTTTATCAAGAATATAAGAGAAAATTAAGTTTGTACACAATGGAAGCCATATATATGTACAGTGAATTGAATGGTTGAAGCAAACAAACATATTTCTATTTGTAAAGCTTTGGTTATGATTTCTAAGTGTTTACTTGAATTAGAATAATGAACATTCATAATGTAAGAATCTAAGAATCTAAGGATAAAATGTCGGTTGAGTTATTATGGTGAATTCATCTACTAATTCCATAAAAAAAGAAAAAAAGATTTGGGTCTTGATCCATCTGTCTTTAGAAGGACATCGGTGTATCATCCAACAAGGCATCAAGATCGATCAGGTCATCATCATCAATGTAACTTGTTTCTTCAGATATTGCAAGAGCCTTAATCTGCAAATTGAGTTGAAACCAAAGGAAAGAAGGTTAGAGCAAAGCTTTACAGTCCAATAACACACGCTGACCAAGAACAAGGTTGTCTTAAAAGTATTTCTATTAGCAATATTGTGAAGGTATTGCCACTGAGTTGGAAATCAAAGTTCATAAAGAGGGGGTGATGTCTATTGAAGCTATGAAACGGAAATCATCAGAGCACTTTCCCTCTAATTGATTCTAAAGATTGTGGTAAAGTCTACCTTGCTTTCCTGGATTTCATTAACAACATTCAGCAGCCTTCGATACTGATCTCTAGCTTCGGGATACTGAGCCATGGATTTGACTCGGGCTAGAGCCTTATGCAGCCGTTCCTCCGTTTGCTTTCTACCCTTTTTGAAAAAATCATCATCATCATCTTCGTTTTCAGATATGTCTTGCATTCTATCGGTTAGTGCCTCCGGCTTGAACCCCCTCAGACCAGATCCTTTTCGTCTCCATCGCAATATGACCTTCTCCAATATCCCTACAGACCAAATTATCTTTCTGTAGTTTTTCCTGACCTGATAGCCTCTCACGTGTGCCTGCCATGACCGGTTAAAGCGTTAGAATTCAGGAAAATAGAAGAGGCTAGCAAATGTGATATAAAAACACACCTGAATTTTGATTATCCTCTGTCTAGTTATCAAGTAGTCCTTTCTACCCTTGTAGCTGCGGAACTTGTTCTGAATCCGAGTAGCAGCGGCATATACAGAATCATCGGTATATCTCCCTGCCTTGTTTGCCTTAAGAGTAACTAACGATAAAGCATGCTCATTGGACATTCCAAATTTATTATTACCCCCAAATTCTTTCATCTGCTTTCTCTGGAAAGACTGCACCCTGAAAACCTGATGAATACGAGCTGCTGCCTGAGTGGCCTTTGAAACAGCTGCCAATGAATCTGTCATCGATGAGCTAGATTTTCCAGGAGCTGAATCAGCAGCTGTTCTTGCTGGAGATGCTTTTCCACCATCCCCCAATTGGTCAGTTAGACTGAGCAAAGAAAGATGAGCCTCTAAAGCAGATTCCGCGAGATAACCAGCAATCCCTTTGTGACCATTAGCATACGCCAAGTCTGAAGTTGAGCAGCCTGATGGGTAAACAGGAGTTGGATCAGTCACAGCTCCAGGGTCAGCTCCAAGAGCTATGAGGGAACCAACAGTGTGCTCCCTGAATTTGCAAAAACATGTTTTAAAGACCCAAAAAGAAAAAGGAATTAGTGATTGAGCACATATGATAGAGCTTTTTCCACTCTCTGCTCTCTTATCTTATTTTCCTACTGTTGTAATTACTGCAATTAGGATTAGATTACGGAACCAAAAAGTGAGATAAGTAACTCACCTGCCAAAGAAAGCAGCCCAATGAAGTGCAGTCCATCCATTGACGTCACGAAAATTGACACTTACACCAGCAATAACTGTTGGTTCTAAGGCCCAGTCATAACCTAGAGCAGCAGCAAAGTGTAGCACACCTTGGCCACTCTCATCCAACACACTCGGGCCTTTGCCACGTTCTGCTACCTTTACCAAGAGCCAGGAGTGCAATTTTTCTTTCAGCAACTTTTCTATGAGTTGGTTTTTCATCTTTTCAGAGGAGAGCACATTCCCTGAATCACTAACTGTTAACATTTGATCCAAGTCATTGGTGTTCTCCACAAGAAGTGAACTAATCTTCTTGTTCACATGGGACAAATCACTGTCAGTGCTGGCAACAGAAGTTGGGCAGACAGACTTTGAACACAACAGTTTGACAAATCTCGCCTGAAGATTTTCAATAGAAATGTGAGTAGAGTCATCTCTTCCTCTGTCCATAGCTGGAGCGTGACCAACCCTAAACTCAAATTCACGCACTTCACTGCATGCTAGCCTATTGGAACATGTTATGTAAAAGGGAACCCTGGCAACCTCATGCATGGGGGCAATGCATCGGAGAACACCATCAGCTATAACCTCTGCTGGAACTTCAAACTGCCCGAACATGCAAGACCACTTGAAATTTTGAAAATCTTCTTGAGCCTTTAAGAATCTTCCAGTGACCAGGACCTAAGCAGTTTCAAAAGGAACTGAGTAAAAATCTGTGATAGGGGTATGTATTGGTTTTCTTTGAGCAGTATAGAAGGTTAGCCAGATAAACTCATTAATAGTATACCTTCACTTCATGACCCGCATAAGTCCAGCTAGGCGAAAAGTCAATGATGCTAAATAGCTGTTCCTGTGAGAGGGAAGGACTAATAGCATATCCATCCAAATCCCTTCGAGAATTGGGAGTATTGGCCCCATTCTCAGTTTCGATTTCGTCCCAGTAGGTTCTGGAGCGTGAATGAGTAAAAGAATCATTTGCACTGGCGAGATCATCAACATCACCCAGTTCTCTGCTCATCCAGCGGTTGAAACTATCCATTTTCTTCAGACCTTTATCATCAAGTGGACCATCAAACAGATGCTTTGTTATAACTGACGAGTAAGGGGCATTTCCATTTGCAGCCGGATTATGCATAGCTTCTAGATCTACACTTCAGGCAAAAATTAAAGGTCATCTTTCAAGGACAAACATTGCAAACCCTCTGAAATTGTATTTCAAGGGGAAAACCCGAGAAAATCACGGTGCTAACCTTGTCCATGGAACCTTGAAGTATGAACAGATGTAAAATCCGAATTTAAAATTCGAGCCTGTAAACATTTGTAAAGATAAAGAAATTCAGATACTCATCACACAGATATGACAACTGCAAAACCAGAGGAGAAAATACCCAAGAACAAGATAGAGTCACAACAATACAATGGACAAAGAAACCTTGTCATAAAGGTATACCTGACACTGTCACTGTTGCATAGAATATTCTTAAGTTTCATTACCTGGCATTTCTCCATGGGATCCTGTTGGCTGGCAAAATCTTGTGTGGCAAAGGTGAAATTATGGAGCAACTGATCTAGTATGTCATGCTCCTGTTTAGAAATACCATCTCTGGCATTAGTAGGTTCCACTGAGGTGTATGGAGCTTGAAAAGGTAACACCTCAAATCCAGAACCACAATTTCCCAAAATCTCCTCCCAGGTTTGGGAATCAATGGACTTTCTGGATCCACTTGTCAATCCAACACAGTTATTTTCTTTGTTTTTGTCAACCATAATGGAAGAATTGGGTCCAGGCATTGCGAGAAATCCTTTCTGATAATTGTCCCTGACTGTTAAGAAGTAATATATGACACTGTTAGTAGGTGCCAGGCATCAGTCGGTAACTACCAAAACCTCTGTTTTCACCAGACAAACAAAAAGTAGAAATCAAGTCAAAGAACTTACCTGGAAGAGACGTCTGATAGTAAGGATCGAATCCCGCAAGGGCTTCTTCAGTTCCAGGCGGCTGTAGATCTTGTTGTGAGAGAATTTTTGAGTTTGCATGGTGATTGTATGCTGCAGAAGAGTCATGAATATGAGCACACAAATGTAAGGCATCGGCAATATATGGATGTAACATATCCCCTATGTCATATGTAACCAACTAATGGCGGTTGAAAGAGGGAGCACCTGATTCGGCATCCTCATAATCTGATGTCTGAACACCACTGACACTCGCTGTGTCAGTAGTCTGTGAATACATGCTGTGATAATTTTGATTAATGCTGCAAGAAGCACAACCATCAAATTCATTGGACAAGGCATCCCCAGTTTCTGGAGAGCACCGAGATGCATCTTCAGTCCTCTGGACCCCGTTAAAGGAAGTGGAAACCCTGCTCCCCTGACAAAGGTACACATATTTACTCAGATATTGGAGTTTCCGATAACAGGAAATCATAGGGCAGAGCACATTGCAAATAAAAGGATGAGGTCAAACCTTAACTTCCAGATAGTGGACAAAAACTATGTGAGAGAGCTCCCTGCGTTAGTTTCCAAAAAACGAGAAACTAAGCACAAAAACACAGGTGATTGTTCTAGCAAATAAATAAACAAAAGCAACATGCATTGTAGTGATGGAGCGTTGTCTTCTAAATCAATAATTGGCTTCAGAAAAAAGATTCATGCATCGGATTCCTTTAACTAGTAGAGCATGAAACACGTACTTTCATCAATAAAAGCCTAGAAAGAGATTTGCCGCTTAGCTCATAATGTTTAAACAAGACATAAGGGGGATATCTGGCAGTATATTTTGCTTCATAAACAAATGCTGCAAAGTCATAATGCTCAGAACTTACTCCTCAAGCATCCAATAACTACGTCTCTGTAAATTTTCATTATCTTCCCCATGCGCATAGTAGCAGTGCAGAACGTCAATGCTTCCTGCCTGCAAGGATATCCATGAGCCAGTGAGTATACTAACAGTAGTTTCCAGTATTATCTACCCACTTCTCAGTAAACAAATGTTGCATCCGAAAAGGACAGAAAAAAAAGTTGGAGCAAAACTAAGATGTATATTTTTAACCATATTTTTATTATGCTATGATAATCAAAGAGAAATCAATATTCGTAATCACTACCTTCAACCTCTCATGAGCTTCCTTCACAGTCTTTCCATCCTTTTTCTTCCTCCAATTGTGGCCATCTTTTCTGAAGAATCTGAGCTCTTTTCGGTTAAACAGAAAGAGCGAGCCACCTGAATAAATCAATATAAATTTCAGAACTTGGGTTCTCCGAAAACTTACATGTAAACTACATGTGATGTGATGTTCTCTGACCACCTAGACAGTGAATCCATGGATAGAAATAACATGGACTCTCTATGAAATGGTTATTGATACCCACACTTAGGGACTTTATCTCTTCATCCAGTTAAGATGAACAAAGACAGCAAGCCCATGGGCTGAAAATCTTACTCGGTGGCCTAGTGGGTGCCTCTGTAGAAATTTGAAATCTTTGATAATTTCGAAGAATTTCACAGATTTCAGGGGGGCGTAGCCATCGATTCTGTGCTTCTAAGAGTATTTGGTCCATATCTGTGCATAAGAATATTGCATTTAGAACACGTGAAAGAAGTTAGTAAAGGCTATATATCACCAAAGCAATTAATTATACAAGAGAAAACACTCATTCTTAAGGAAGCTTTAGGACACTAATATAATTTTAGTATTTAGCTGCAGATACAGAGCATTCATCCATCATTGTCCAATCTCCAGAGAACTATCAACTCAACCATTGAAACTGTAATCAAGAACATGAAAGAAAGGTCCATACTGTTATTCGACTAAACCAATCGTAGCAAGTTTACTTCATTTCTCACTAGGACAATATCATGAGCAATGATAAGCTTAATCACAAAAATGAGTTGTTCTCCAAAAATGAATATCCCTTCGCAAAAAGATACTTTTCACAATCGAATCATCACTTCATCATCTACGAATATTCATAATACATATAAGCCTTTTCATTGATTCCATCTACAAAATTGAAACTCCTATGAATATGAGTGCTACGCCATGTGACTCAAAGTCTGTCTCCAAATAACCCGACTTCACAGCAAAATAGATCACGAAAACCCCAAAAAAAGATCCGCAGCAGAAATTATCAACCACAAATCACATGAATTAACTAAAATTCAACTCTCGAAAGGAGAGAAAAAAAAAAGCAAAAACAAACTCAGTAAGAAAAAACGCAAAATTCAAGTAACCTAATCGATTGATCGCGCTACTTCGCCTCGCTTCCGCCATATCATCCCATCTGCGATCTCAAAAAACGCCAAACGGACATGCACACCACGGAAAAAATAAGTGAAAATGAACGATCGGAAGGAGAACAAAACGAAATTTATCTTCTTCACTCTCGAACAGAGAGGGACGAATAGAGAAGAAGCAGAAAACTGGAAACGATGAAAGGAAGACGAAGAAGAAGAAGAAGAAATCGAAAGGATTAAAGCGGAGAAATCATTTGAAGAGAGGGAAGCATCTGAGCAGTGTGTGTGAGAGAGAGAGAGTCCGTACAGAGAGAGAAGGGGCCGTCGGAATTGAATTTTTGGTCAATTCGTTTGACGCAAGTTCCCAGCATCTGCCCTTTATTGGCGTTGTTGTTAATTCCTTCTGTTCTTTTATCATATTTTATTTTCCATATGCGCTAATTAACACTTGATATTATCTTTAATGTTTTTTTAAACATTTTTTAATTATTTCTTGTCCTAATTTTTGCTGTCTTCTCATTCATTTTAAACACGCTGAAATGATTTAATTTATCTAACCAATAAACTCTTAAAACGATTATATAAACAATTTATCTCAAATTATCTAAAAAAGTGATTTCAAATATATTAATATTATTTTAAAAATTTGCAGATCTGTTTTTTTTATTAGAAATTATTTTTGTTATTCATTTGATCTATAAAATTAGATAAAAAGATAGAAAACTAGAGTTTATATTTGGTTTAATTTTTATATTTAGGTTTACTTTTTATTGAATCTAGAGTTAAAGATATTGTACTTTAAGAATTAAAACTAAAGTTCATATTTGGTTTAGATGGTTTATGAATTAAAATTTAGATGTTTTGAAATGTTCTTGTTTTAATGATTTTAGACAAACTCATGTATTTTCCAATTTGGTGAAAATTCGGCCAAAATGCGTATGAGAATTCTCTTCGAGTCAATCAAAATATAGGGTTTAGACCACACCGGTTGTTTGGGCCCACAGTAATGGTTATATCGAAACTCTAATGGGCCTTACAGTCCAAGGTACTGTAAATTCTTTCTCGACAAAATTATATTTTTTATTATTTAAGTTGCAGGTCCAATATGGTGGCCTATAACAGTCCGTCGTTTAGATTGCAAAAGAAGAGAAATCATACTGTTTTCAGCCACAACTTTACTCGATGGACATTTTGCCGACGCTGCAAGAAAGTTGTAACGACCCGAGGCCGCTACGAATTGTCGAAACTACCCTCACACACCAACCCGAAACCTTTCAGCGTGTTTTGTCCTCACTCGCACACATACCGAGACACTTCCCAGTAGATCACCCATCCTGAGATTGCTCCAGAGTCAGCACGCTTAACTTTGGAGTTCTCTCGGGATAGTCAACAAAAAAGGTAGGTGCACCTTGTTGCTATGAGTAGCTCAACTAATTCTTTTATGTTATCTTAGACCGTATAATCCAATACCTATACAACCCTCGGATCTCTCTCATTCCGGTGTGTTCGATTCATCCCTGTACCCCTTACCCAGAAGCTCGTCAGGAGCCGCCCCTTGTCCGTGCCTCTGCACCGGCGATCACTCCCCGCCCTCCTACGGTACTCTGGGTTATCACAGAAGTGAAGAGATCCTCTGCTTGGTTCCAAAGGTAAGACTGCATACATACCTTGAATCTATTCATTTCAAAATATCTTACATTTCACCAACAAATTTCTCACTATTTTTTTTTCTTCTGAAACTCACTCTATCGCTCGATCATGGCTGTTGAAGATTTTGATCAGATAGAAATTGTTGGAAAATCCAATCAAAGGTTAATATTTTTTTTTTATCGATACAAATATCTTTACTGTAGCAAATTCTTATGATAATTTGTTTGCTTCCTTTTAATGTACAACATTGTGTATCGAATTCGATGTGTGAAAACAGAGAAAATTGATGCACTGAAATGATACAATTCGGACGATGATGAAGTAAGTTTTCTTCTTTTGTTTTAGTAGTTAAATTGATGCATGTTGAATATTAGAGATATTAATTTTATTTCTAATTTGTGGAATTAGATAGATGGTAAGGTTCTGGACGAAATCAGAACTCTGAAAGAATTCAATCATTTTAATATCGTAAAACTTAGGCAAGTCTAGAGGTAATTTTCTCAAATTCTATTTAAACTCTGATATAATTCATTGATTCTTATAATATATAACAACAATTTTATATTTTCTATTTAATCTCTTTATGTTTTTTTTGTGGCAACTGCGACGATGCACTAACTCAATTAGATGATGTCATATACTTGCACAAAGAAGTCGCATTTTCACCACCGCACATAAAGGCATGCAAGCACTAAATACACCCTCTAATAATGAACAAGGGATTGGATAATAATTTTTTTCGTTTTGTTAATGTTATATGAGACAACTACTTACTTCTCTAACTCGTCGCCATAACCAAAGGATCATCCATGGGGACATTAAAGATAAGACTATTGGCACCTCTTGTTATTATGATTTTGTTTTGATCATTATTGTCTTTTGGAAGGAAAATAGAAAAGAAAAGGATCAAAGAAAGCTATAAGGAAAGAGCCTGAATGATTGAATTCCATGGACTGGTATAATAACCGACGAGAGAATATTTTGATTAATCCGAAAATGACAATGACTAGGAGATCCAACAAAAAAACTGTAGATGGCGAATGGATTCATCCTACGGATGAACACATATTTTAATGGTGTAGGTTCTAATATTCTCATAAATGATGATGACTCTTTGAAGTTTGGAGGTTTTGGGATGAATATATAAACTTGTTTGGATTATCCTCCAATTGCACAATCTCCAGATCTTGATGATAACCTTGCAGAAGATGCTAACATCCTATATTACAGTTATGTTATTACATCTTTTGCATGTTCTCTATGTTTCATGGCTCATAGAGACAATGTTAGAACATATTATAACAATTCATATACTTGTTTTATGTAACAATGGTGTCGGGTTTTACATGTGGTTTAGATAAGACAGTTGTGAAGAATATACAAGCTCTGCGAAACTCCTGATGAGAATAGTTGAAAAAAGCAAGTATCAAGTTGTTCTATGTAAAAAATTATATGTTAACTTTATTCGTAAAAAAATATCAAGTTGTTTTTTTGAGTTTTCACAATTTGGACGATGATATATTGCAAAATTACTGGACTTGATGTTTGTCTCAAGTTGTTCTCTTTCATTCACAGAAAATCTTCGTCACTAGTTTTCTATATTTGTGTGTTTTTTCTTGCCAAACTTTTTAATGTGTAGAGAATAAAAGATGATGTTCTTGAGACAAATTATTTCATCTACATATTGTTACAATTAGTCAAATCTTTATAATTAAACTTCTCATTGCACTTGGAAATAGTTTTAAATAATATTAAAACAACTAATAATTTTGGAGCAGTTTAAGTACACTTTACTTATATTAACTATAGATTCTCTTTATAGATCAGGATCATAGAAGATGCGGATCATTGATTTGTTTGAGTTATTTATATTGTGAATCTATTTTATCAATATTTTTTTTTTGTTTTTATTTTGATAATAAAATCTAAATCTCTATCTTTTGTTTATTTTTTTCGTAGAAATCTTATTTATTTGTCAAACTTTTAATAATAATTAAATTTATTTATTTTTAATATACAACATAATTTTAGATGAATGAGAACTATAAACATTATTAGACGGAGAACTATAAATAGCATGAATAAGTTGTCTTTATGTTGTTTTATTAGTTATCTTGATACAATTATTGAATCTTAAAATAATTAATTTTTGTTTCCACGTTGAAACAACTCTAAAGAAAACATTGAATAGTTAAAATTTTATTTAGCCTAATCTTTATATATATATATATATATATATAATTAATTTTAATTTTTTTGTATATTATATGGTTGAAATGATTCATTAACTTAATGAGATGATGATATTCATTTAGAAATTCAATTGTTTTACTGTGATTTGATTAGATTGTTACGAAAAGGGTTCGATTTAATACTATCTCAAATCAAATTTGTAAACACACTATAATAAAGAAAAATTACTACTTGTTCTTATTCTTTCAGTTTAATTTGATGTAACAAAATATTGATATTTAATTTGAATATTTTTATCTATGTATATCACACATAAATGAAATGCCAAAAATTTCTATAGAAAACAACAATTTATAAGTTTCATATCCATACACTTCCGTGTTATAACATCCATGCGTCTTCGTTGCACAGTAGAAAACTTCTGTCGATGAGAAAATCAAAAGTTAAATCATCATGGATCATTTAGACCTTAAAATTTGGACTAGTTCTGAAACATTATACATTAGTTGTTATTTAAATTAGTGGTCGGATATCATTCTTCATAAGAAATCTATTATTAGTGACTTCCAAATGAGTTCAAATAAATTTTATATGGGTGTTTATACAACTCTAAAAATATATTTGGGGGAGATATGTCATATCGAAAGATTACGGTATGGTCTAGAAAATCTACCATTTTAAATTTGTTTCAACTTTTCTACTTGAACAAGCTAATTGTTTCAATTTGGCCACAATTGATATTGATGAGCAGAGCAAAAGCAGCTTCAATCATGTATAATTGCAAATATCTCCATTGATGTTGACATCAGATTGCAAACAAGAAATTCACCAACTCATGTCTCTAATCCAATCATCTCTAATTCAATCTTAGGATAGTAAAAAACCATGGTGTCCATTTTATTTGAACTAAAATCGAAAGCACCATGGTCTAAAACGTTCGAGCCCGATGGGCCCAATAGACCGTTCTGGGCCCAAAACCCAAAACATTTTAATCCAATTGTAATTAAATAATAACTTTGGGAAATTTAGGAAAGTCTAATTAAGTACAGTATAAACTAAGCTATTATAGAAACTAGAAAAAGGAAAAAAAAGAAGTAAGGGTACAAGATTTTTTTTTACAAAAAACGATTCTTTTATATACAGTAATGCCATTGATGTTCATCAACTCCATACGAACAGAATGGATAAGGAAACTACTTGAACCAAACATTGACAACAGTCTGAAAACGTTAAGGCATTTACAAAGCAAAAAAACAACATCAACAACATTAATTCAATGTTTTTTTTTACCAACTGGAAATTCCTGCCTCCACCGTTTTGCTCAGAGAATGTATCTCATCATACTTGGAGCCATACACAAACCCCCACAGCTGCAGAATCACAAATGGAGTTTGAGTAAAGCAAACCAGACAGAAAATGGGTTCTCTCTTTCTCAAGAGAAGGTGAGTTTGATGGTGACATACCTCGACTTCCTTGACTTCGAAGTCCTGAGAGCTGGAGAGACAAGGGTTCCCGTATGTCTCGGAGTAAGCACTTGATCCATTCAACCTATAATACGATAAATCAGGTAAGGAAAATGGGACATTTTGGTCGTAACAAATAAGACGTTGTTAAGAAGTGCTTACAGGTCATTGTCGAGATAGAGAGCAAAATGTCCGCCCCCACCAAGAGCTAGAAAGTCCGTCGAGCACAAAGTGAAATACCGATTCAGTCCTGATCAAGAGCTAGTTTGATATCAACCACCACATTTAGCATGAACTAACAAAAAAAAAAGAGACTAATAACGGTGAAACCTAACAAGGGTTCATATTAGATCGAAATCAAATAGCATGTCGCACAATGTTATTGGAATGCAACGGTTAATATACCTACCCGTGGGACCGAATATAACGGGCTGTCCAGACTTATTTGTGAAAACAAATGTGTTGTTGCCCCCCTAATAAACATAGAACATAAGGATGTGAAAATGGAATTTTAAAAAATCAAAAAATCAGCACATGAATCTAAGAGAAGGGGCACCACCTGATATTTCTTATCAGTTGGTATCAGAGGTGCCTCAACAAGACCACCAAAAACCGTGCCTTTTCTGTCTCCTACAACCTGAAACAGGACATGTTTGTCAAACGAGACCACCAATACATCATCATATATTCGGACACAAGACAGGAAATGGACCTAAAAAACCAAATTTAGACCATGGAATAATCTGGTTTTAGAAATGAATCTTCTCCAGCCAAATGGATAGAAAGAATATCCTTTACCAGTAGGCTAAGACCAGGCCAAAGCAGGCTTTTTCTGTAGAGCGTGGAAAGCGATATACCGTGCCTCCAAGTGCTGGAAAAATATCAACACATTAACATCAAACAGAGAATCGGTTCTGTTCCAGAAATTTATCAGAGCATGCTCCAACTCCAATACATTGTTGAAGGTGTTTTCACCTGTACAGCAATAACCATCTCCTTCCCTGAACAAGTGCAGGGAGTGAAGCATAAAGGAAACGTCTCGTTTGCTCCGAAAGAAGCAAAGACGGCTCTGAAGCTTCCGGTATACTTTCATGTACCGTCGTCTCCCCTTCCACATTCTGCATATGCTTCATCTCCAGGCCATCGAATTCAGCTTCTTCGTCGTGTTTTACATCAGAACTGCCCTTCCGCTCCTGATTCCTGAAGCCGCTGAGCTTAGCGGCCTGGTAAAATGCCCTTACGGATTGCTTGTACTTGGAAAGAAAGCTTTTCTTTCCACCCGTCTCCTTCACTGTACCAGCATTAACCGAGGATGTATCACTAGTCTCCGCCTTGGAATCATCTTGCTCGTCCTGATCAGATTTATCTTGGGGATCCGAGGTGGTTAACAGAGAATAGATGAATGCAGTGAAAGAAGAAGTGTCTGGCTCGTCAGCCAAATCCTTAGACTGCTCTTCGGTGATCGACTCTAGTTGGTTTCTTTTAGATTCGTTTTCATCCTCCTGTCAGAAAAATCAGAATGGCAATTGTCAGTAATATGAAGGGTTCATTCAAGATCCCCACAACTTGAACTTCCAACATGGATTTTCCATCAGTCATCACAAGCACAGAACCTTGCCGGCAAAAAAAAAACATCCAATTAAGCGAATAGATACTTAGCAGACGAATAGTCGACAATAAGTCAAATCTATTGATTGGATCATCTGACACAAAAGCAGAAAACTGAAAACCCACAGCATCAAATTCCCCAGAAAAAGGAAGAAAACAATCCAGAAACCCAGGAACGAAGAATAGTCAAGATTAAGACCGATTCAACGCGAAACCCATCGGCCCGTTCCAAGAGAGTTCATCTAGCTAACGATCAAAAAGAAGGAAAAAAGGGGGAAATTGTTAAATGATGAATACCGGAGGAGGAGAGGGTTTATCAGAGATGGGATTAAGGAGACCAGTGGTAAGATCAGCCACAAAGTGAACTGCTTTGCTTCTGAGCGACTTGTGTTTGCCCATCTTCTTCGCCTTATTCCTATTTTTAGCGCCTCAATCCGCCGAATTCAACACGATCCCTTGACAATATATATACGCCACAAAACAGAGACTACTCTCTCCCATTCTCTGTTCTCAGCTCTCTTTCTCTCTTCTTCAACTGACCCTGAAGATTTCTACGAGCCTGGTATCGCCATGAAAGACATTTAACAGGATTTTCAATAAGATATCACATAAAATATGAACGAATTGACTCCATGGCCCAATGGATAAGGCGCTGGTCTACGGAACCAGAGATTCTGGGTTCGATCCCCAGTGGAGTCGTTTTGTTTTTATTTTTTATTTCTTACTTGCAAAAACGACGTCGTATTCTCTAATCAAAACATTTCGGATGAAAAGAGAAGAATCGTCTTAAAAGGGTAGAAAAACAAATTTTTTTTGGTTAAAGAAGGGTAGAAAAACTGAAACTGAAAACACACATAACGAAGACAAAGTCCTTCTACAGTCTGAAACAGACAACAATAGCAACAACAACACAGACATATTTTAGTTAAAAAGACTCCAAGAAAACCCACATCGTTAAACTCTAAGGTCACTCACTACTGAGAAAGAGAGAGAGTATCAGACCAAAGCAATGCTGCTCTCACCGCCCGGCGGCTTCCTAACTCCTCCGAAATAGTCCCTCGATTCCGACTTCCCGTCTGCAAATATGTCGTTTCCGCTCATTTCCCTGAGTTTAGCCGAGCTCAAATGCTTCTCTCCCGAACTCGGTGGATCCTCCCCTTTGAATATGCCGTTCCCGCTCAGTTCCTGGAACTTCTGGTTGTGTATCTTCTTCGATGTCTTCACCCCTTGTTCCTCCCCAAACAGGATGTTGCTTTGTCCTCCTGCAGGCTGTACCCAGATACACGAATCAGATGTTATTGCCAAAGATGGAAACTTTCAGAATCGCAAAGATTAGACCGAGGAAAGAGACTGATCACATTGGAAACTTTAACAGATGTTCGTAAGGTCCTTGGTGCGGGCTCCCCCATGTCTCTGCTTTCTTTGGTTCCCTGTGAGTGTAAAGCAGCAGACAAGGAGCGAGGTGGTTGGATTTCGGGGGGAGGTCCAAATATGTCGTGACCACTTATCTCTTTGATCTTGGCATCCGATGTCTGCTTCTTGTTCTTAGAGTCGGGTTCAGCCTGTAAGCTCCCGCTCAGCTCTCGTTGCTTCGCAACCTCGGGTAGAGTGGTTGGTTTCTTGGGAGAAACAGACCCATCGGCACTGAAAGATATCTGGCTCATTCCGTTCAAGGTTTGCTGCAAACAAGACAGTGTTTCCATCCATCAAATCCTTCTTTATTAAGACAAGACTCCCCGGAAAGAAACAAGTACCTGATAGTAGCGGAGACCCGTCTTGTTGCTCGGACTAGCAGCTTCAGATTCGACCACATCGTTTCCTTTCCCAGAGAATATGCCACTACCATTCATCTCTTTCAACTTGTACCCGGAACAGTTCTTCCTGAACGAAACATAGAAACGCCTCTTTGAAATCATGATCTTAAAGAGACACTGGAAGTCTGTAAGATGCTGAAGCCTTGTTCATGGAAAAGACTGACTCACAAAATTGGTAAAAGTCTTTTCCTTTCTTAAATGTGATTAACAAGCTACACTAACCAGAAAATGGGTTTCTCGCTAAGATTACAGGTTACAACCACAAACAGGATCACTAAATGAAAAAGAAAATGGGGGTTCTATGAACATGGTGGTCCTCAAACGAAGATCAAGGTAAGCAAAAAGGCATAGCCTCATCCTTTTCGTTAATTCAATCCGAGGAATATGCAGAGAAGAAAACGACTAAACCCCACTGATGAAAGTATCATTCTGCAAATATACGAACACATTTCAGAATCAGAAACAGAAGAATCGCATTCTTTTGGTGCATATGAATTCAACCACTTGATTAGACCTAAAATAGCAACAAATCGAGACAATGTAAAGAGAAACCCGAAAGAAATCGGCATTGCATTAGCAGATCTGATGTGAAAAAAACTCAGAACTACTTAGCAAGAGAAGACGAAACAAGCAAGAAACAGAAATCACGAGATCTTCTTCATACGTTTTGTTGAGTGCCTGGGCTTCCTCGTCGGTGATCTGAGCGCCGGAGAGTACCTTACTGATTCCATCAGCTCTGAGCTCATTCCATCAGCTAAAAAAAGGCAGAGACAGATCCACTGACCTGTGACAAGCAGGCTTTTCCCTGGTTCTACGTTGCATGTTAACTTGCTAGCCAACAATTTCTGTGCAGGGGTAATGATATCCACCTCGGAAAAGGATATGAGATCTTGAGAATCCAGATGACGTGTGTGATTCTTCGATAAAACACCTGAATTGATTGGAGGGAAAAAAAAAAGAAAAACCTGATCAGCCCAAATTCAGACTTCCAAATCAAAGAGAGACTGTAGCAGATTATGGTCTCGGAAGAGAAGAGAGGTTGGGAGAGGGAGAAGAAGAACCTGGTGAGAGCGAGAGGCGGAGAGAGTAGCGGCGGCGGCGGCGGCGTGGTCGGAAGGAGGAGCCTCCGACCAAGTGAGCAGATCGGCGGTGGAAGTGTGAGGCTTCCTCACCGGCGTTTCTCTCTCCATTCTCTTCCCTCTGGATCAAGCTGTGGGAGCTTCTTGGGAGTGAGAGAGAGGTCTTTTACATACAATACAGCCAGTGGAAGATATTATTTCGAAAAATGCGAAATGATATCTTATTATCAGTCCGTAGATTTATTTTTTTAATGAATAAAAACTCCAAAGCCCAACTACATTAATTGTCAACATGTTCGTAATCCAACAAATAAAAAAATAATTCCTTAACAATATACAAATTTTATAAAATATATCAACAAAATATATTAAGATAAATATATCAAATATTAAAATATACAAAATATAGAAAATCAAATAAATATAATATCGTTTTAGATTTTTTCACAATTATTTAAAAAAATATAAAAAAAAGTCTATTAAATCAAATTCTCATTAATTTTTAATAGAAAAATAATATTTTAAAATATATCTAAAAAATAATATTTTAATAGAAAAATGCTTTCGATGTTAAAATTTGTATCTTTTTAGAATATTTCAACATCTGATCTATATATTTATTTATCAAATTAACAATCCGTATAGTTTTTTTATACAATTTGCAAAATTTATGCATATGACGTTCGTTCTCGGCCGGCCCGAGTCCGCCCATGATTATTGAATAAACTCGGCCTTTTTATTGGTACAACATTCAAAAAAACAAAAAAAAAAAAAAAAAAAAAAAATTTAAGAAAAACAGCAGATAATAAAGCTTTTATTTTTATATAAGAAGGGATGGGACCTGTTATTGGGGGATTGTACCAAAAAAACTGTACAATTCCTATGTTATAATCATGGGGGAAGCCCAAAAAGCTCCAAATGGATTTGACCAAACAACAATAAATCACACTCTTATCTATGTTACCTTTTTTTTTTACATGAATGAATGGGAATGGTCCTAATGATGAAATATAATCTTCATACCATAGAAGCCAATTCCCATTTCCCAAAGCTCCCCAGTAAGAGTTGTGATATGTCTTTTTTTCCTTGGACCATGACAGAGAGGACAGAGCCTTGGCCTTCTTAGTTCTTTCTTACTCGGCTGTCTGTCTGATAGAACGGAGTTCCCAGTTGCTTTCTCCATCTATCAGCCGTAGCTCCATCGAGTGGAACGGGATCAGAGCCGGCCGCTGTCACGGAAAAAAAAAAGACAGAGATATCGTGTCAGAAAGAATCATTCTTAACATGATTTTGCTGTATTGGTTAAGACAAGAACTGACCTGTGACGAGGTTATGAATGTGACGCCCATGTCCTGTGCAACCCTGTATAGCTGTTCCTCAACATCCACACTTGTGGCACTGAGATATCACAACATCATCCATTTACAAATTAAGATGAAGAAATACAGTCAAAAGATTTCAATTGTACAAGTACCGAGAGAGGAAGGATGGTCATTACTTGGTGCATTCGTCGAGGATTCCAAACTTGGGTCTGTGGAAGAACAAGCGTGCCTATTGCCACAGGAAAAAAGATACCGGGTTGCTCAGATATTTTCAGTCAGATATAAGACAGATACCAAAAAGGGTTTTCTGATTTAAGATTTGTTCGGAAGCATTTTACAGAACCAGTCTTACCATGCCAAGTCTTTGTTGCTCTCCAAGTGAGAGCATATCTTCCCAATTGAGGTTAGCATCCCAACCAGCTTCGTCTCGTTCTAAAAGATAAACTAACCGAACATTCTCCAGAATGGTTTTCAGATGTCCATCTAGAATGCTTCCTGCATCCGTCAAGCTTTCACCTACTACTTCCGACAATTTCCACAAGAAAGAGTTAAGAAGTCATTTTCCACTCTTTGTTTCTATCCACAAGATTGCTAAAGAGAAGAGACAGGAAGAATCATCGTTTCTAAATAGAGACATACCTTTGTTCAACAATTTTGCTACCCTCCGCTCTGCATCTTCTTTGGATAGAGGATATATGATTTGATCTCTCAATGTCCCTAAACATGTATAAGGACGCTGGGGAACAAAAAAGATGCCATTTCCTGAACCAAGTTCTTCGATATCGAGTGATGGCTTTACAAGTCTACCACTAACAATGGGCCAAACGTCTCTAAGGACTCTAAATACAGAACTCTTCCCGCTGCCATTAGGACCTACAAGTTTTTGCAGTTGTGCTGTGTCAGCTCTGAGCTCATTCCATCAGCTAAAAAAAGGCAGAGACAGATCCACTGACCTGTGACAAGCAGGCTTTTCCCTGGTTCTACGTTGCATGTTAACTTGCTAGCCAACAATTTCTGTGCAGGGGTAATGATATCCACCTCGGAAAAGGATATGAGATCTTGAGAATCCAGATGACGTGTGTGATTCTTCGATAAAACACCTGAATTGATTGGAGGGAAAAAAAAAAGAAAAACCTGATCAGCCCAAATTCAGACTTCCAAATCAAAGAGAGACTGTAGCAGATTATGGTCAAGTTCAAACATCTAGATTCGTTCACATTCCCAGTGTGATTGTGTGTAATGAATGCTGTTTTACCTGATTGAGAAGCATCCAAAAACTCCTCAAGCTCAAAAATTCTGCTGATACCGCCAGAAAGTTCCAGGAACTTCTTGTGCAACTCAAGAATATCCCCAAAAGCCAAAAAGCTTTGAGAGACAACAGACGCTAGGAATCGCAATGCATGTGCCAATTCACCTGTTACCATAGCCATCACCAAAAAAAAAAAGATTAGATACAAATAAACTACAATGAGTTATGTTCGGAAAAAGCAATGATGATTAATTATGGCTACAGTTCAAAGAAGCGTGATAGATCTTCACCTTGAGTGGAGACCAGTGCTCTGTCTCCCTTGTGTTCTAAAGCATACAACAAACTCAATCCCCAAGTTACGTTGTGGGGAAGTTGCTTTGTCACAAAATCATCAAGTACGCCATACAACCATTTTTTCTTTAGAAGAATGTGAGAGTGGTCAAGAAGCTCCTTGAATTTCGCTTCAACCATCTGCTCCAATGAAAAACATGTATAAGGCAGGTTCACCAATGATAAGTTTTACCAAAGCTTTTGGCTCACAACCCAAAGCCAGAAAAAAGATTCATGATAAGTAGTACTAAGGTTTTAATTTCCAGTCACGCCACCCATGAAAAGCTAGTTCCCATCTTCAGGTATATCCCCTTGAAATTGTTCAAGGAACTCTAACTAAAATGCTTAAGGTTATCTCCATAATTCAGAAATTGCCCCGTAACTCTATATTCCATTATCGGAAAACCAGGCAAATGATAACATGCTATAGACAGAACATGGAAGTTGCTTACAGCTTTTTCTCGAGCTCCACCTCCAAAAAATGCAATAGATTCAGCATGAGTGTGCAGTCTCTCGTGCATAAACCTATAATATGCAGCAAGAAGTCAGTAAAAGATGGCCATTCTGAAACAATCATCCATGGAAGAAAGGGAAACATAAAAGACTTACCTAAACTTCCCCTCAAGCTGCTGTTCTTGACTGGATAGATCACCAAAATCGGGTGTCACATGCCTCAGAAAACCAAGACCAAGCAACATATATGTGTAAAGTATGGCAACACCCCTCCGACCAGTCAATAGCTTCATCCTCCATGTGAACCTTTGAAAACAATATGCTTAAATTATGATTTAATCCCAAATATCCACAAGACAAATATCAACAAATATATGACAAGTATACTCACCAAAGAATGTCAACTGATGGCTTTACCATTCCAGTAAGCAGTCCAGACAAGTCAGTGGTCAACTTCTCCAGGTCATGAGTGATTCTCTGGTCTGCATCAATACTTTTGCTCGACATATGGAAGACCTACAAAGATACACAACATGATCTTTACTGTTGCAACTTCAACGTACAAGAAAAGAACGAACAAACAGCCATTCCCATAAACTGTAAAGTATTATAAAGCCATTCTGAACGACAGTCATGCTTCCTTTAACGCCAGGTTCCGCTGAATAATACAGCCTATAGTAAATAATTGGAAATGCTTTTTGATGCAGAGGGCACGCCTGCATAATATCTCCAAGCTTATTAGTAATGTAATCCACAAATACTACCTTGTAAAATGCATTATTTCTCAGATAGTTTTGAAGTAAATGCTGAGTCAAACGGATCCTCCAGCCTAATGCAAGCCTCTGCGTTAGATGTCTGTAAAGCACGGAGAAAACTTTTTTTAGAGAAAACCGCCAGTAATAATCTAACCAGATGCCAAGAATTAAGTAATAATCTAACCACAATTACTACCTTATTGAAGGAGCTATGAAAGAAGATGCAGCGCTTTGGAGAACACTTATACCAATCAAGCGAGCAAAGGCCACCTTATTTCGCTCCAAGACATACTTTACAGTGGTTCCTACAAAAACCATGATTTCTAATAAGAAAAAAAAAATCTACCCAGAAATAGCTCAGACAACATAACAGAACAAACTAACCATTCAAAGAGGCTATTCGATCAGAGACCAATGTTCTTGAGACAACAAGACAAACAACAGCAAGAAGTTGTGCCCCTTGCTTGTCAAATATAGTGGGTACCTGAGAATAAAAATAAAAAGAATAATTATGGATAAATATGAAATCAAGTACAACAGGAACTTACGTGAATTGGAGCTTGTAAGAAAACCAAATGAAGTAAGATGAATACAGAGTTGCAGAAGATGAACGCAAAAAAAGAGTGACAAAATACAAGCAGCATTTTTTGGTTTCTAGGTGCAGAGACCAATTTAGATAGACATTTTTTGGGTAAATCAAACTCACCAATATGTTTAACATCGCAGCAACTCTCGATGGCAACACCCTTGGGGATGTTTGGAGTTGGGGAAAACGAGGTAACACGATACTTTTATCCACAACAGGTGACTTTCCAATTAACTCTGTCAGGTATGACTGAGCTTTTGAATTGGCACGTGCAGATTCCTACAGAACAGTCAGAGACAAGGTTACACTTACTACTAAATGCATCCTCTAAAACCAATAAAAAATAAAAGAGACAATTGTGAGGCTTTAAGACCTTTTTGGCTGCAGCAAATGCCTGCTGCACAACCATCGCATCATTTTGCCGGTTTGTCTCTGAGTTTTTTATGGAATTAGCTCCAGAATCGGTCAAAAGTGCAGAGTCTTC